GAAAATAAATTACAAAACCAAACAGAGTTAATCTATGACCACAAACCTAAGCTAATGCTCGCAAGAAATACTGGAAGATGGATGGAGTCTACGAAACTTATGGAAGTTAATACAATTTTTCATGAACGCACAAAACACATAAAAATTGACTATCACGTTGTTCGTGAAAAACTTCAGGCATGTACTCCCTCCGTTCCTAAATATTTGTCGTTTTACACAATTTTTTTTATTCCATAATATCTGTCGTTTAATAAAACCAAAACATAATTAATATTTTTTCTTCTAAATTTATCCTTAACTTTTCAATGTATTAGATTAGGTGTCTTTCATATTCATTTTCTTTCCAATACGTATTGAATAAAAATATTTCAGTGTTGTGCAATTATTTTTTACTTGTATTGAAACGTGTGTTGATGAAATGTGTGAAACACTTTTTTCACTTAAAAATGCCCTGATTTGTGTTGAGGTGATTAATGGACCATGATTTGGCAGCACTTGCATTGTATCAAGGTATGCAATTCTCAGGAGTTTTGCTAGTTTTTCATTGTTTTTTGTACATGCAAAAACAATTTTTTTTTTTTTTTTGTTGAGAGTGGCTTCTTGTTGTCGAGTTGAGTTATTTAACAAAATTTCTTTTGAACATGTTACTTATTTCACTGTCTATCACAATGAATTTAGACAATGAAGTATATGTTCCACCGTCAAGATTCACTTTGGAAATGGTGAAATTTACTTATTTCAGTGTTCAATTTCGTTTATAACCTAAACATTTTGGTTCATTAGAATTATAGAAAGTATTGAATCAGTAATTATTACGCTTTATTTATTAATATTTCAAACAATAAAATATAAGAGTCGAATAGAGAAGTATCTTATTAATATTTCATGAATACACATTGCTTAGTAAAATTCGCGTCAACTCATCCATCAAACAACTCATCCATCAAATAAGTTCTACGAGTAAACATGATTATGACTCGACAAAATAAAGACCGAACTCTAACAATCAAAAAAACGAAATCGTGTGAATCCATTTGCTTAAAAGATAAAACGAGTCAAACGGTGGATTAAACACAGTAAATTAAAGACTAAGTTAAACAGTGAAACCCATGAATAAATATTACTAAGTTAAATTTGTGTCAGCTCATCCATTAAATAGGTTTAACGAGTAAACACAGTTATGACTCGACTGAAGAAGGACTAAACTCGAGCTTGTAAATATAAACAGTGAAATTCTGCGAATCCATTTGCTTTAAAGATAAAACATGTCAAACGGTGAATTAAACAGTAAATTAAAGGCTAAACTATGAATTAAACAGTGAAATTAATATTTCATTAATAAACATTGCTTAAGTCAAATTCGTGTCAACCCATCCTTCAAAATTAACATAATTATGACTCGACATAATAAAAACTAAACTCTAACCTATAAATAGTGAAATTTTATGAATCCATTTGCTTAAAAGATAAAACGTGTCAAATCATGGATTAATTAGTGAACTAAAGAGTAAACTATGAATTAAACAGTGAAATTAATATTTCATGAATAAATGGTGCTTAGTCAAATCCGGGTCAGCTCATCCATCAAATAAGTTCGACAATAAACACGATTATGACTCGACAAAATAAAGACTAAACTAGAACTTCTAACAAGTGAAGTCGTGTCAATCCATTTACTAAAAAGATAAAACTTGTCAAGCTGTGAATTAAAGACTAAACTATGAATTAAATAGTGAAATTAATATTTCATGAATAAACATTGGTTAGTCAAATTCGTGTCAATTCATACATTAAATACGTTCAATAAGTAAAAGTGATTATGAGTCAGCCGAAGAAAGATTAAACTCGAACCAATAAACAATGAAATCGTGTGAATCCATTTGCTAAAAGAATAAAGCGTGTGAAACGGTTCTGATCCAAAATAAGAGATAACATAAGTAATTAATAATAAGATTTGTTTTGGTTTTTTTTTTTTTTTCATTTTAATTCCCTTGGAACTGGCAGAAACCTAAGAAGGAATCTGACAGCCAGTCAACTGGAGCATGGTAAAATGGGAAAAGATACTATTAAGGGAACAAGAAAAAGAAAAAACCATAAATAAACTCGAAGTCATAGATAAAACTATAAATGGAGGAAAAATATCACTTGTAGACTTCGCAATTTTTCCGCTAAAAGATTAAGAGAACGGATGTTGTTGATCAGTTTAGGACTAAATGTTTAAGATTGGTTAAGAAAGTGGAAGAATTGGAAAAGGAGTTGAAGATTTCCGAGGACAGAGAGACTAGTCTAAGAACATAAAGTCAAATCATTAGAAAAAGACTTCTTTGGGAAAAACACTTTGTATGTGTCTGAAAAACTCGGTGGCAGACCTCCAAATCTTGTATCTTTAGAAGAATTCAATATAATAATTAATGATTGTGGCATCATTAACTGCAGTTATGAGTGCAACATACCTGGTCGATTAACTAAGAGTGAGGACTTTGTTTGGACAAGGTTTGAGAGAGTTTTCACTGATCCAACTTGAGCTGATGTAGACTTGCATGAGGTGCACAACAAGTGACAAAAGACATAATACCTTTTTGACCAGTGCGAACATCCATGAACTTCTCTACCGTCTAAGGTAATTTATTTTCTGCTTTTTTTTTTTCATGTCTAACATATTCTATCTTATGGACAACAAAATCGAGGTTAATTAACCTTTAAAAGGAAAGTTTGTGGGGTAGGTGGTGAAATTAAAACTAGAGGAAAGAAAATGTGAGGTAATTTTTGAATCCGGGTTTTTGAAAAAGGAGGTTAGTAGTAGTGATACTCAATTAGAATAGATAAAGTCAGGAAGTGAGTGTCGAGTCCTAAAGGGAAGCTGTTATGTTATCTCCTACATTCGACTAGCTACTATGGCTAGATCTAATTAGTTCTGTCTGTGCTCTCTTCTTTCCTGTTAGCTAGTTGGTAGTTCGTAAGGATGGAACCGATACATAGGAGCTCTTTTACACCCGATGCTCTACCATCCGCTATTTTCTCTGCTCTTTCCTTCATATCCAAGTAGCTTTTTTTTAGGCCAGCTAGGAATGGGTTAGATTGAGCTATGAGAACCCGTTTTGTTCTCTTAAAAAAGCTCTTTACGNGTAAACACAGTTATGACTCGACTGAAGAAGGACTAAACTCGAGCTTGTAAATATAAACAGTGAAATTCTGCGAATCCATTTGCTTTAAAGATAAAACATGTCAAACGGTGAATTAAACAGTAAATTAAAGGCTAAACTATGAATTAAACAGTGAAATTAATATTTCATTAATAAACATTGCTTAAGTCAAATTCGTGTCAACCCCTCCTTCAAAATTAACATAATTATGACTCGACATAATAAAAACTAAACTCTAACCTATAAATAGTGAAATTTTATGAATCCATTTGCTTAAAAGATAAAACGTGTCAAATNAAAGATAGAGCAAAAGGAAAGGGCGGGCTGATAGAGTGGGTGATGAGGCCAATTTTGCCAATCGAGGGTGGACTCAATTGTTCGTGGCCCCACAACTATCGAATGATAGTATGGTCAGAGTTCTATGTTCATAATTGAGATCCGATCTCCAAACTGACTATTTTGTCACATACATTCGAACAANAAATTAATATTTCATGAATAAATGGTGCTTAGTCAAATCCGGGTCAGCTCATCCATCAAATAAGTTCGACAATAAACACGATTATGACTCGACAAAATAAAGACTAAACTAGAACTTCTAACAAGTGAAGTCGTGTCAATCCATTTACTAAAAAGATAAAACTTGTCAAGCTGTGAATTAAAGACTAAACTATGAATTAAATAGTGAAATTAATATTTCATGAATAAACATTGGTTAGTCAAATTCGTGTCAATTCATACATTAAATACGTTCAATAAGTAAAAGTGATTATGAGTCAGCCGAAGAAAGATTAAACTCGAACCAATAAACAATGAAATCGTGTGAATCCATTTGCTAAAAGAATAAAGCGTGTGAAACGGTTCTGATCCAAAATAAGAGATAACATAAGTAATTAATAATAAGATTTGTTTTGCTTTTTTTTTTTTTTTCATTTTAATTCCCTTGGAACTGGCAGAAACCTAAGAAGGAATCTGACAGCCAGTCAACTGGAGCATGGTAAAATGGGAAAAGATACTATTAAGGGAACAAGAAAAAGAAAAAACCATAAATAAACTCGAAGTCATAGATAAAACTATAAATGGAGGAAAAATATCACTTGTAGACTTCGCAATTTTTCCGCTAAAAGATTAAGAGAACGGATGTTGTTGATCAGTTTAGGACTAAATGTTTAAGATTGGTTAAGAAAGTGGAAGAATTGGAAAAGGAGTTGAAGATTTCCGAGGACAGAGAGACTAGTCTAAGAACATAAAGTCAAATCATTAGAAAAAGACTTCTTTGGGAAAAACACTTTGTATGTGTCTGAAAAACTCGGTGGCAGACCTCCAAATCTTGTATCTTTAGAAGAATTCAATATAATAATTAATGATTGTGGCATCATTAACTGCGGTTATGAGTGCAACATACCTGGTCGATTAACTAAGAGTGAGGACTTTGTTTGGACGAGGTTTGAGAGAGTTTTCACTGATCCAACTTGAGCTGATGTAGACTTGCATGAGGTGCACAACAAGTGACAAAAGACATAATACCTTTTTGACCAGTGCGAACATCCATGAACTTCTCTACCGTCTAAGGTAATTTATTTTCTGCTTTTTTTTTTTTCATGTCTAACATATTCTATCTTATGGACAACAAAATCGAGGTTAATTAACCTTTAAAAGGAAAGTTTGTGGGGTAGGTGGTGAAATTAAAACTAGAGGAAAGAAAATGTGAGGTAATTTTTGAATCCGGGTTTTTGAAAAAGGAGGTTAGGAGTAGTGATACTCAATTAGAATAGATAGAGTCAGGAAGTGAGTGTCGAGTCCTAAAGGGAAGCTGTTATGTTATCTCCTACATTCGACTAGCTACTATGGCTAGATCTAATTAGTTCTGTCTGTGCTCTCTTCTTTCCTGTTAGCTAGTTGGTAGTTCCTAAGGATGGAACCGATACATAGGAGCTCTTTTACACCCGATGCTCTACCATCCGCTATTTTATCTGCTCTTTCCTTCATATCCAAGTAGCTAGATGTGACTAGGCTTGGTTCTTGAAAGGAAGACTGAGACATGTAGCTACTGGTCGGTTTACAACAAGCTAGGCCAGCTAAGAATGGGTTAGATCGAGCTATGAGAACCCGTTTTGTTCGCTTAAAAAAGCTCTTTAAGCAATCCACAAAGAAGACATTCAGACTTGGGAGTTCAGCCTCTTGCAGCCCCTTTGGGACTCGCGTCATATCCATTATATAAACGGAAACTAACCTACAAAGATAGAGCAAAAGGAAAGGGCGGGCTGATAGAGTGGGTGATGAGGCCAATTTTTCCAATCGAGGGTGGACTCAATTGTTCGTGGCCCCACAACTATCGAATGATAGTATGGTCAGAGTTCTATGTGCATAATTGAGATCCGATCTCCAAACTGACTATTTTGTCACATACATTCGAACGATTGAGGTTACTCAATTCAAAAAATGGCCATGGCAATTGTTATCCTACTCAATGCAGTCTGCAGACTTTTCTTCGTTTATCTTCGATATGTAATGAAATTGGAGGTCAAATGTTAAAGGTGTTGGTGATATCTGATAAAATTTCAATATGAAAAGAAAAAATTCATCAAGAACAAACATGAAGAAATTAACGTGGTTTGGTCATAGAATCTACGGCCACGACGCACAAAACCCTTAAAGGATGCATCTTCATTCAATCTCAATAATAAATACACAAAAAATACACCCATAGGGTGGCATATACGAATCATAGCATTTAATCAAAGGAATTGAGATAAATCCAAGGATCAAAATATGCCACTCATTATGTCTAATTCGAATAAGTCATCAATCACAATATATCCACAAATCATGAGAAACATTTTATCTTCAATAGCACCAAATATTTCACAAAAATGTTCTTTTCCAATGTCCTTGGGAGGAATCCACCAACATATGCAAAATATGAACTTTTTCATCTTTATCTCATATCTATGTAGTTACTTACTGTCTTATTTACCAAATTATGGTATCTTTCATAAAACTGTGATGAACCCATACTTTTCAATGAAATAGTATGTTTTCAAGCATACTTTTTTCATTGAAAAGCGTATGTTCAACTCATGCTTTTGTAAAAACTATCATAATTTGGTAAATAAGCTAAAAAGATTGGTATGCTGGTAAAAAGTTCAAAAATTCACGATAATAGGATCATTAATTCGTTTCTACAGGCTCTAAGCTTGCCACTTCAGAATGTCAGTAGAATACATCCAATCAATCTTTAGGAGTAACATGGACAAAGGGCTGGTTACAAGTTTGTAATTCTGAACTAAGCTGATTTTCAGTTTTGCAGAGTCCAACACATTACACATGCACAAACCCACCCAACCATATGTGTGCTTACACCCCAGCCTATCAAAATTTAATATGATACGATTAATTGATATGAATCGACACAAATAAAACGGGTTTGGGTGAGACCTTAACGGATTCAGATGATAAACGGATTGACCCGTCATACACATTTAATAAACGGGTCGTATTCGGGTGAGACTTGTCAACCCGTTTATCACATATTTATCCGTTTAAATAAAATTAATATAATAATAAATTAATAATTATTTTAATAATGTTTGTAAGTAGCAAAGAAGAAAAACATTTCATGTAAGTTTTTTTTTTCCATAGTAAATAGAAAAGAAGAACTAGAAGGAAAAGAGAATAAAATCAGAATTTTTCACTATGGCCTTCTAAGAGTCTCAACTATAAGATTTCAATGGAGTCTCACCATCAAAAGAAGTAGACATATACAGAAAGTTTTATGCCTCAACATATCTTGAATGTGAATAGGTATTCTCAGGTTCTCTGACTACCATGTTCTTCTCATAGATGTTGTTGGTGGAATTTTGTTATTTTGGATTGTGGTTTGTACTTTGTAATACGGTGTGGTATCTCTAAATATCACCTTTTTTTTTTGTGTTTTAATTTGTTAGTTTTATAAAGTTATATAGCAAAACAAATAGATAAATGGATCTAACGGGTGGTTTACCGTGTTAATCTGACTCTATCCAACACAACTCGTTTAAAACTAAACGGGTTAAACAAGTCGTGTTGTGTTACTCATTTATTAGACAGATCATGTTTGTATTGAGATTTTTCATGCGTTTATTAAACGTCTCGTATACGGGTTTACATATTTTTTATCCATCACCCGTTGAACTTGACATGTAACTATTTAACCCGACATGTTTGACACCCCTAACCCCATGAGAGTAGGGGTGCAAATTGGGTAGGGCAACCTGAATTCAACTCAAGTCTAACTCGAAAAAAACAAAACTTGGGTTAAAATTTTTAATACTTGAGTTAGGCCTGGACCAAAAAACTCTAATTCGAATTGAATTCGGACAAGCCTCGAGTTGAGGGCTCGGTTTGTCGGGTTCAACCAGAATATTAAAATAAGGTTAAACCAAAATATTAAATCGGATTGAACCCGAATATACATAAATATATAAATATATTTAACTAAGGTTAGTATTTATCTTCACTCTTCAGAGTTCAGACTTTCATTTCATTTTATGTCTTCACCCCTGCGCCTCCATCACTCTCAAATCCCTCTTTCACTCATCTCTTGTTTGGTTGGTCTCAGATTCTCAATCTCCCTCTCTCAATCGTCACTCGTCTGAATCATCTCAGACTATTAGTCTCCCTCTCTCACTCGTCATTCCTCCCTCTTGTATCAATTCCAAATTAAATAATTTAAGTCCAACCCAATTTTTAACCTAGAATCAACCCGAATTCAACCCAAGTCCGCCCGAATAAAACTCGGGCAATACTCGAATTGAGTACCTCAGGTGGAAGTTGAGTTAGTGTCAGAAGAATTGAAGATTATATATTTAGGGTTGGGCTATGATTGACCTCTCAGCCTCTCCAACCGGCCCAAGTTGCATCCCACATGAGAATAGCAAAAACAGTATAAAAATACCTCTCCATCATATAATCACATTTCTAGAAACTTCATGCTCTGCCTCACACGCCCGTGGTGTATTTTTTTTCCCCAATCCATTCATTTATACCAATGTCACCCACTTCTTACTTCATGAGGCCATCTGACATTAGGGGTGTGTTTGTATATTCTGAGTGGATTGGATAAGATATCAAAAAGATAACTTGCCTATCCAAACCAAACCCGGCCAAGCTCATATCTGGATTGGATATGTATCCATGCTGATGTTTGGGAAACCAATTCTATCTTATATTTGAATCAAAAATGGATGGAACTATCTTGAAACTTTCTTTTTTTTGCCCAAAAACTCTTGAACATATTTATTATCCTTGGATCTTGTAGACGCCACTCCTCCTACACCCAAAGCAAATTTTGTTTTTACTTTTCAATCTCAATCTTACACATCTCTTGAACTTCCATAAATCAACAACCATATTTGACCTTCCGTTAATAAATGGTGTAGTTCATCATCCATTCCACCAACCAACCGAGACAACCTAACATAGCATCATGAAAAAAAGAATTACAATCATAGAATAGGCAGAAAATCCTGCCTTAACAGCAAAGTAAAAACTCATCTATAGAAGAGATACAATATCTCTTCAAAAAAAATCAAAGAATACATGTCTTCTTCATCAAAACCTTCACCTCTTGTTGATCCTGCAATAAAAGCAGCTTAGCTTCAAAAGGAATCCCCAAAGTTTGGGAAAAATCCGCAAAGCAACCATCTTTCACAGCCAAGTTTGCAAAAAAATCTGCCATGTAATTGGCTTTTCTATACACGTACAATGCTGAATTTCAGTTTTCCCAGCTGCTCCATAATATCATTGATCCCATCAACATTCATTTCTTTATACAATCAATTTTTGAATGAATAAAAAATCAAACAGGAAGTACAAGGGGAAAAAACTACCAATACTCCCTACGCCTTCTTTTTTTCTTGCCGGGCCATCCCTCCCATTAAGATGTAATCATTACTATGATCAAATATCTAATAGAAAAATCGAAAAAATAAAAATGGAATTTGATACAATCAGTCTCAGTTTTGGTTAAAAAACACAAACTTGAAAAACATAGGACACAACCACTTCAAATACGAAGATCCAACACAAAAAAATCCAACGAAAGTACCCCAAAAAGATTAGATTAAGAATATTAGAACGGACCTTAGAGAAACAAGAAAGAGGGAGAGAACCACAGGAGAAATACATTTGAGCTATGAATCACAACAGACCTCTTGTGGCCAGATCCAGATCTATTCGTCAAAGAGAGGATGCGACTGATGCTAAACTAGATCTGTCCGTGAGCTTTTCTATTATTCGTTCAATCAATCAAGAGAGAGAGAGACTCATACCTCCCAATCTGTTTGTCGCCTTCGTTGCTGCTCTCAACCCATCAGTTGGCTTTGACAAAGAAGGCTTAGATGAAAGTGAAGAATGAAACGTCAGTTGAGAAAAAGGTAAAAATGTCATTACCTGCTGTTATCCTGGTGGCTGGGTTTGTAACTCATGGAGGGAGTGAGTTAATTTTAACCGATATAAGTGGGTTACAAAGCACTGTAGCAACCGGGTCACGGCTAGACCCGGGATTTGTATCCAAGCTCACATTTTGCTTCCCAAATAAAGGATTTATGGGACCCATTGCTTTATTAACCTATCCATGTGGGTGTTAACCCACTTTATCCCAGTACCCAAACACACCCTAGGTGCATACCGAGGAAAGGCTCGACAGTCGCGTGGGAGCGGGGGTTGCTGGCGACCTTAAAGCCATGACTAGAGCTGAAGAGAGTAGATTGGGCTGCAAAGCATTCATCTAAATAATGGTTATAATAGTACTGCATTATATGTATCATTCACAGCCAAGACTGGTTAATAGCTTTAAAGAAATAAAAAAATTTCAAACCCAAAAAAGACAAGCACATATATGGAACCATGGAATTACATAGACGAGTTGATGTACAGGATTAGCCTGGGAAGGTTCTCCAGTGCGAATGTGAAAATTGCACCAATCACAAACATCAAAATGAAAGCGATCAATATCTTTCCAATGTACAAAAAACTGAAAATGGGTCGGGGCACCTCCTTCGTCAAGTATGAGCCATGCAACCCCTGCAAGATGATGACAAAACCTAGATCAAAAAATGTTGCTTGTAGACAATACCAAAGCTAATTCTCATAAAAGGTTTCAACCTGTTGGAAAAGACCGCCAATTATGATAATATTTCTTTCCATCTTAGGGTCAAAATGGGTTCTAATAACAAAAATAATCACAGCCACAACCAGAGAGAAACATATTTTTTATGCAGAAACCAGTAAAAAAACTACGAAACTAGTCTGATTCCAACTTCCACTATAAATAAATGCGATTACAATCATCAAGAAAAAATATCAATTGGGTCACAAAATAAGTAACAGTTTTATGAGAGTATTACAAAATAACTAGTGTAGAGAAGCTTTCTTTAAAATAAACACCGTCTAATCTGAAGACTTGTGCCAGGAACAAGGATCAAAATATCGTTTCGAAACGGTCGAAACATCCGAAACGTTTCCGTTTCTAAAAAAACCGAAACGAATCAGTGAAAGAATCGAAATTCTAATACTTCGAGAAGTTTCATAATGTTTCGAAATATTTTGTTATATTTCAATGCATTTGCACAATTATTTTGGAATATTGCAAGGTATTTCAAGTTTTTTTGATATATTTCGACCAATGTTTTGAAAAAATAATTCTTAAATTTTTATTATTTTTCATTCTTCTTTCAAAACGGGTCGAAACGTTTCCGAAACATTTCGAAACGTTTCCATTTTCTAGCTGATCGAAATAATGCACCGAAACGAAATTTTGATCCTTGGCCAGGAATAGGATTGGTAAACGAAATGAGTAACTCGAGCTCAAGTCTGTGCTTGTTTTGGGCTCATTAGAGCTCGTTCGAATTTGAACACGAGCCGAGCCTGAGCTACTAAGGTGGCCCAATTTAGGCTCGGTATTTTATTCCCAATTTCCACTCTTATTTTTAGTGTGTTTGGAAAAATATTTTAATTGACGAATTCCATGAAGTCACCATGTAACTTGTATCTCAACTAAATCCGTGGCTAATTAAGGTTGAAGACTAAAGCAAAAGATATGGTGAAGAAGTTCAAGCTACATTGTTATACAAATGACAAATTCTTTGATCCTATCAAGCGTAGGTGAGATAATTTTGACCTAGATACTTAATTCCTTAGTTTGGTTTAATTAAGTGTTAGCATTGGATTTATAGCATGAGTTCATTCATGACGCGTGTACTTTTGTGTTAAAATGTTTTTTGAAACTTTAGAGTTCTAGTTTTTGAAAACGATTTTTGAAATAAGTCATTAGATGAAGGCTTTCTACTTGCACTCTTTGGTACTTAG